AAAAAAAAAAAAAAAAAGTCTATATGGAATATTAAAAGTACCATTAGCCAACAAAAAGCATGAAAGCACATGAAATAAAAAGAATTAAAAGAAAAAGTCCCCAAAACAAACAAAAACAAAAAACTGAATCTGTCATACACATTAAAAAAAAAAAAGTCTCCTTTTCTAAATTATCAGTTTCTGTAAATAGAAATTTTATCTATTAAAAAAATGTTTTCACCTATTCATTGACTGTACCCTTCTTGTAACACATCATGGTCTGTCTTCTGTTAATTACAGTACCTGTAATAATTCTCGGAGCTCTCCAGACTTGGAATGTTGAATGAATCTAATTAAAAAGAAAAGAGCAAACATCATCTATATTAAAAAGAAAAATGCACCCTGGCTGGTGTGACTCAGTTGGTTTAGCATCATCCCGTGCACCAAAAGGTTGCTGGTTTGATTCCTGGTCAGAGTACGTGCCCGGGTTGTGGGCTCGATCCCTAGTAGGGGGCATCTGGGAGGCAGCCAATCGCTGTTCTACTCTCACATCGATGTTTCTCTTTCTCTCTCCCTCTCCCTTCCTCTCTCTCTGAAAATCAGTGGAAATATTAAAAAGGAAAAAATGGCCCGGCCGGGCATGGCTCAGGGGCTGAGCGTCGACCTGGGATCCAGGCGATTGGGGTTCAATTCCCAGTCAAGGCACATGCCTGGGTTGCGGGCTTGATCAATGACTCTCTCATCATTGATGTTTCTCTCTCTCTCCTTCTCCTTTCCTCTCTCTGAAATCAATAAAGATATTTCTTTTTTAAAAAAAGATTCTTAAAAAAAAAGAAAAAATGCAAACACATTAATGACAAAAGAAAAATGACAATTCTTTTAATAACTTCTTTTTTAAATTTTATTTTTGTTTAAAATATTACAGATGTCCCTTTTTCTCCCNTCCCCAATCCCTCTCCCCACCATTGTCCGTGACCTTGGGTTGTGCATATACGTATATGAATTCTTTGGTTACTCTCTCCCCCTCCACCCACCAGCCCTCCTCCATCCCTCTGACATTCGTCAGTCTGATCTATGCTTCTATGTCATTGAATCTATTCTGTTCATCAGTTTATTAAGTTCTTTAGATTCCACGTATACGCAAGATCATGTGATGCCTGGCTTATTTCACTTAGAATAATTTTCTCCAGGTCCATCCATACCAATAACACTTTAAATGTAGAATGCCAATGAATTAGATTGATAATTTTTTAAATTTGAAAATAGAAGTCAGATTATCTGGAAACTTGTTTAAGGCATCTAGTGTACTGGAGAATAATAAATACTTTGAATTATGTCCTATTCAGAATATACATCAATTTGAAGTTACAAAATTGGATGGTTATTGCTGTTGTTTTAATCATTTGATTCTGGAAGCCAGCAAGGACTGGATTCATGTCTGATATATGGATACATGCCAAGTGCCTCTAAAAAGCACATTACTTTGATAACAGGACAAAAGCCTCTCTCTTCTTAAATCTTAAAGAAGATTCAGTAAGAAAGGAATTATATAATGGTAAGAATTAAAGTTCAGGATGTCATAGAATACTTATCTGGAAATATAGTGATTTCATAGAGTTTGACTGACTGGTCGCAATAGCTAAAATTGTTTAACATCCAGGAATCCACTCCATTTCTAATACCCTTAGAAATTAAGCTGTAAGTCCAATTTAGGCCAAAAGAAATATTAATGTATATGTAATCCTCTTGCTAAGTAAAAGAAATACTGTTATAAATTTTAGTAAAGATTAGTTTCTGCTCCTATCTTAGCACAACATGCAAGTATATATAGCCATACCATAAGCATTTATGCCTATGCAAGTCCAATTAGATTATTATGAACTCCAAATTATTTAAACACAAGAGTCTGTTTGATATTTCTTCCTTTAAATAAGTCAGCACTTTGGCTTGGAAATTTTTTTAAAAATACACACATTTGTTATTTTTTGCAAAGGAATTTGACCTGTACCACTAATTAGGATCAAGAAAAAGAAGGAAATGTAAATACAGCAGAGAAAGTTGAAAGCCAAATACCCCATTTTCAATTTGTGATTCCTAGTTGCTTTGTAAGAGGGGATCTTTTGATCAAACCAACAGCTGTGTATTTCACCAGATACACTTCTCTTTTTAAAATGGTATTGTTTTTAAAAATATAATTAGATTCTTAACAGCAGTGAATAATTAAATGAAACAGACAAATGAAGTATCTAACCAATAAGAAAGTTGACCTTTATAAAACAAACAAATCTACTACCATCAGGATACTTTTGGAGAAGAGTTCATTTCCTTACTAACACAACAATGGTAATCAAAAAAACAGAAAGGGATTATTATCCATTTCTCTCCCCATGCAGATTGGGATTTATTTGTAATTTTAATATTTAAATTTATATATAGTAAAATTCATTCTTTGTGATGTACAGTTGTATGGGTTTTGAGAAATGCATCGTCATATATGTACCACTACAATCAACATACAGAACAGTTCCATTAACTCCCAAATCCTCTCATGTTGCTTCTTTATAATCAACCTCTCCCCCCATCCCCAACCCCTGGCAACTGCAATCTGTTATCTGTCTATAGTTTTGCCTTTTCTTAAATGTCATATAACTAGAATCATATAGTATGTAGACTGGCAGGTTTGGCTTCTTTTACTAGCAAAACATGTATCTTTTTAAACACTCACCTTCATGGGTTTTGCTAGAAGCTTTTCTTCCATGTAAAGAAGAAAAGACCATATTAACTTTCCCCTCAAAAGTTAACAGTGACATCAGTAGTTTTAAATTCACATATTATAGTTGTATTTCAGAATTGTGGCCTTCAGTATCTCTAAACCTATGTTACAATATCCCATTTTATAATTTTACAATCTAAATGGGAGAATCTAGGCTCCTGAAGGAAATAAAAGTGTAGTCTTATTTATATGTGGGTCTTGACTCTTACCATGGTTTCCTTTGATATCGAGCCACTTGGTTTTTTCCATGACCCTTGTCTTCTTCAGAATGCCGTGGTAAGTTTGCCATTCTACTTCCTGCTGCCTAGAGCCCAACAGGTGCTTTGTTTTGGCATCTGTCAGATCTCCTGTAGATTTACATAAGAACTGAATCAAAATGCAAAATAAACCCAAAGAGGTTCAATTTATTTTAATGCACACTGAAAAAAAGAGATAAAGTACTCAACATGTGTAAGCATAAGCCATGCATGTGTCCATTTATGTCCAAAGCAAGCCATCTAGATTTTCTCAGCAAGGGCTTTATTTGTTTCTTATAAGTTCGCAAGTGTCTACTGAACCTCCTATGATATTAGAAATGGGCTGTGAAAAAAATATGTATCTTAAAGACAGCATGGGACTCTAATGAAAACTGAAAGAAATTCCAACAGCCTGGGCAGGTGCCTAATATCTATGGAAACCACTGTAATCTGACCCAAGTATTATTTTTACAGCAAGAAGCATTCTGGAAGGTGTAGACTGGACAATAAAATACCAAAAGACACTTGAAATCGAAGTTTTCCATAAAATGAGGACTGCTATTCCATTATATCAGTAGAGATGTTTCAGTAAGGCGGGTGGGGTGAATCCCCTAGTAGACAAGATAGATGCTCCTTTAGCTTCTCCAACACAGTTTGGGAGCAAATGGCTAGGGGTTTGAAGACTCTAGGGAAAAGTCACAGAAGTACCAACGGACGAAGAAAAAGTGTCCTGAGTCATTTAAGTCTCAAATCATTGACAATATAATATTAACCAACTCTGTGAAACACATGGAAAAGTTAGTGGATTTTTTTTCCCCAAAGATAACTTTTTATGTCGTTAAAGGGCTTTCCCTAATTCTCTCTCAAATTCAGGGCTGCAACAACAAAAACAGATGAGAACATTGAATCCCGCTTCTTCCACTTTAACAAAACCTTGCTATGACAAACCTTTTAGCCTGTATCTTGACTCAGTTATCCCTAGGCAAACGGAATTATAACTTTACTTCCTCTCACGGGGAAGGGCTCACACGGGGCTGTGGCTACATTGTTTCCAACGTCCCCAAAGTGAAGGGCTGCAGCCCGGGCGGCCGGCATTCGACCTTCCCGACCACAGAACAGCACGACACCCGGCAACCTTCCCTACCTGTTGCTAGGACGAGAGCTGGTTGAATGATGTCAACAGTTTCCGAACAGAACTTCTCTAAGTCTGCGGCTCTGTCTGGATCTTGAAACCTGCTCAAGTGAATGTCGGATATCTGCCGAGAGCAGGTTGGAAACAGGGATATGAGTCAGGAAGACGCAGCCCGGACCCAGCGACCCAGCGGCTCTCTACGGGGTTAGGAAAAGGCAAAGGTGCAGTGCACCAAAGACGCCCCCCAGGGGAAGCACCAAAGACGCCCCCCCAGGGGAAGCACCGAGCCCCCCGCCCCCCAGCCCGGAGTTGGGGGTCGCGCCCCCGCGGAAACTGCCTACGTCTTGCGAAGTCGTGGCAGCTCTGCACCCACCCTCCTCCGGGCTCCCCCTGCGTCACCTGCAGACCCCAGAAGATATTGTTGGCTCC